AAGAACTTGCTTTTTGTCCCTGACATCAGAACATATAGAACTGTCTCAAATAGCAAAAGTAATGGGAAGTACATGTATAAAAATACATTAATTGGGTGCATTCTTCTAATCATTCAACACCAATCTAGTATATAAAAAACACTACATGCTAAAGAAAAAAGTCCAACTTATTGCATCAAACTAAACATTTCGATAGTCTTGATATTTGACCAATTGACCCCCCAAATCTTCTCTCTCAAATGTCTCTCTCTCTATATGATATAGACAGTTCATATAAGGTCTAAAATTGGCTAGATAATAAATACTGGTTATAGTTATCAAAATCAATTTAACGTTGAATTTGACAAGTGGTTCCAAAATAATTATTTCTCTCTAACCATTCCCCACATATGTGGTAATTATCCGTTAGCATGTAATGAAAGTCTGCGTGTATATACAAGCACCTGTGATACATGGCATCATAATAAACTGTATATTATAATCAATCAATGCCCCCTTAGTAGCAACACAGCAACATACAATCTATTAACAGTGATTAATAACGTATTCTATAAAATAATTTAAAGTGAGTTCATCAAGTAGTATTAAGGGATTTCTATTAATAACAGAGGAAATTCACACTGAACTCTGCAAATTGGTCCAGTAAATTTATATTTAAGTGTGCAACTTCCCAGAATCCCTTTGCTACCACAGTTCCAAGGGATAGTGGACAAAACATATAGGTGACCAAGACTTAGCATGTGATGTCAAAGTCTGAATGTGTTTTGAAAAGAAGCTAAATAAAGATTTAAATGGTACTCAGTAATAAACAACAGTGCTAACACCAATGGTTGCATCATCAAACATATAAAGATGCATTGATCTGCATCCCTCAATACAGCAGTATTATGTCAGCATCCATTCTGACTTAATGCTATGATCATGTTTTACTATAATCTCAAATCTGAGGTTATGCAATTAATCAATTATGCAACAATATCATCCTGCCAATACAAACAAGATCACAGCACAGTTAAGGCTATGGAAAGGAGGCAAGAAAAAAAATTCTTTAAAATACCATCAAATTAAATTATTTGCAAATTTAAAATTGTAGTAGAGCACTAAACTACATGTACATCAAAACTTACCATCAATTCTCGTTACCTATATCTAACACAGCAAAGCATTGATGCACTTATCAGTGTGATGTCATAATATTTGATTCTGTTCAGTTTGTATGCAGTGAGAGACAGAACAAGATATATTTTCACAATAAAAAAATGTATTTTATAACTTAAAATGTTATTTTCAGACATTTAAAAGGCCATTTATTGAATGCAATGCTTTTTTTATGATTTTACACATATACTTTCTGCACATTCCTTACAGAAATGGTACTGCCATATATATGCAAAATGCACTGGAGGGTAATAGAAGGCCTTTAGTGGTATGTACTAATCACTAATATTCTGGCGAAATGTGTACTTGGATTTTTATTGGCTAAAAATCTGTTTCCAAAATTACATCGGAAATATATCTTAATGTTTTTATGGAAAACAAAATGTAAACAAATTTTATTTATTTACTGCAATATTTATATTGAATTTTTAAATCCACTCATTTTTAATTTGCTCTCTGTCCAAGATTAGCACTAATTTATGGTGTACATGAGTCACATCTTCCATTGATGAGCAGAGTTTTGATGCTGTAAGCTGTTTACAGAGATTAAAAGAAAATAAAGACAAGCATGGTTGTGTAGATAAATTATCATACAAAACAATGGTAATAGTTTGCCAGTGCATTTTCTCTGAAAGCATAATTCTGGGAAGGGGTACTCCATGTATATATTTGGAGCTAGTACATTGTTAGCTCTACTGGTCAGAGACCAGAAGAGCTTATGCGATAGTAAGGTGTCCGTCGTCCGTCCATCTGTCTGTCTAGCTGTCCGTCCGTCTGTAAACAATTTTTCAAAACGCTACTCCTCTTACAGTTTTGGTCTGATTTCAATATAACTTGGCACACAAGTAGTCTACACTAAGATACATAATTCTGTGCATCGGTTTTGATTTCAATGAACGGTGTTGCCATGGTTACTAAAAATAGAATTTTCTGTGAAATATATTCAAAATGTTACTCCTCCTCTGGTTTTGGTCTGATATCAGTATAACTTGGCACACAAGTAGACTATACTAAGATACATAATTCTGTGTATCGGTTAGTGGTGTTCCAATCATCGATTATAATCGAAAATCAGTCGATTGCTGGCATAATTCAAGCGCTCGATTACGAAATTTTTATTCTGATTAATCGGTTTTAACAAGCGTAATAGTTTTGAAGCCAAATATTCCAGCTGCAACTTATCTATTAACTTATTTGGGTATCGTAATGGCCAGACAAACAGAATTGTATCCATACCTGGATAACAAAGCACGTTCCTGGATATAGACGCAAGTTTTATATCTGTACAATGTAAGAAGAAAATTTAAAGAAAAACTGATACGCACTCAATAAAACACTCAGATGATATCCATTCATTCTAATTCAGCAAAATAAAGAACAAATACATAAGCAGAAAGTAGTCATTTACCCATTCTTACCATTTAATGAACTAAATTGATAGACTTTGTAAATGTCCGATTATAATCAATAATTAGTTAGATAGAGTAACCCAATCATCGATTATAAAATTCTTACCGATTCCCATCACTAGTATCAGTTTTTGATTTCAATGAACGGTGTTGCCATGGTTACTAAAAATAGAAATTTCTGTGAAATATATTCAAAATGCTACTCCTCCTACGGTTTTGGTCTGATATCAGTATAACTTGGCACACAAGTAGACTATACTAAGATACATAATTCTGTGTATCTGTTTTTGATTTCGATGAACAGTGTTGCCATGGGTACTAAAAATAGAAATTTCCTTGAAATACTTTCAAAAATGCTACTCCTCCTACAGTTTTGGTCTGATTTAAGTATAACTTGACACACAAGTGGACTACACTAAGATACTAAATTCTCTTTACCAGTTTTGGATTTTGATGAACGGTGTTGCCATGGTTACTAAAAATAGAAATTTTCAAAAATACTTTCAAAACGCTACTCCTCCTACATGTTTTGTCTGATTTCAGTACAACTTGGCATACAAGTAGACTACACTGAGATACATCACTGTCATTATTGCTTTCTGATTTTGTTGAATGGTGTTGCTATGGTTACTTAAATCGAAATTTCTGTAAAATTATTTTGAAATGCTACTCCTCCTACAGTTTTATTCTCCTTGCAATAAATCTTGCCACAAAAACAGACTAAACCAAGGATCATTATTCTATTTATTGCTGTTGCAAAGTTTCAAGTCCAAGTGCTACTTTTATCTTCCTTTATAAGTACAACCAGTAGAGCTACAGTCTCATCAGAGACTTCTGGTGTTTTTATTGTAATAGAGAGTGCAGCGAGCAGCGCTAAGTGCCGCTCATCACTGTGAGCTCTTAAAGCAATGCCTGGCTGAAGAGAAAATTTGAACTTTGCACATTGATCCAAATGAATTTTTTTCCCACTGTAACCTGTGGTCCCATAATGCTTTGTGAATTGCATCTCGCCACAAACTATGTTCTCGCAGTTCCAAGAAGTTCCAAAAAGAAAAAAACATAAACTCATCTTGATTTAATGGATATATTAATAGCAGATAAATAATAAATTAAATGTCCTTTATTAAAATTAGCACTGTTCAGACTTAATTGTGTTGTTAATACATCTTACATACCATGTCATGTGACGTCAAGAGTCTAGACATGCCAAATGTCTTGTGCGGTTTGAAGAGCCTGCTCTAAATCGAAACTGAAAAGGTATCTTTTCAGTATCTGCGCTCACCCTATCGGTCACACAGTCAACATATTATTGGTTAAAATTTTTTTCTGAAACAAGTGCCTGTTGCATGTTTGCTAAAACCATGCAACTGCCACATCACAAGTCTACACCGAAAATCTAATCGTTCTCAATTATAGTCGATGCATGGTTTTTAATCAAATTACATTTGTCTGATAGTAAAGAACTAAAAAGAATTGCCCATTCTCCTGATCAAAAATGTATTTTCATCACTAAAAATTTCCAATCTTTCTACTTTGCACCTTAACTATACTGCAATTAAACCCCTAAGATTACATACTTTTCAACCTAGGCCTAATTAATTTTTAGTGGATATAGGTCCATAGTGTATTCTTCTACCCTCGAATTCCAAAGTATCAATGATTACATGCAATACTTTCGGTACTCTGATCCATGTTATTTTTTTAGGTCATTTAAAAATAAAAGCAAGGTGAAGGCCATTTTTGTCCGCCATATTTGCATAACTCAGTCTTCCATATTGAGAAAATGACGAAATGAAAGAAAATTCTATAACACTCTGTGAATACAATGTATAAAATATGCAAAGATAATACAGAATAGCTCAAAAATAAAAAGAACAATTTTTCCACCCAGTCAACGAATACAAGTAAGACACATGATCCAAGACATTCCACAATGTTTTTCGTGTCACCAAAGTGCAAGCGCCATATTGCAAATCGTTTGTTATGGTTGGTTGAAACTTAAAATGTCGTTTCGTTCCTTATAACAATAATAAAACAAGAATGCTTAAAGGAAAGCATTAATCAGAAATGGCATATTTTACATCATAAAAATACTTCGTAAGAGTTTACACATTTTCTCGCAGGAGCGAGAATTTCTGATTGAGCGAATGAAAATGGCTGTTACAAATTTCGGTCGGAGGAATAATAATATTAACCAATCACAGGAAGGCTTTTTTACCCGCGTAGAATCAAAGCCTTGCGACCTCCAAAGGTGAGTACCCTTAAAAGATCCCTTATATCCCTTAAAGTATCGGTGCCATAGTTAAACAAATATGCTATTCTGAAAAAAGAAGGAAAAAACTAAAAGGGGCCACAAAGAAAAAGTATATCAGCTTGAATTTAAGTGCCAAATTGTTTCATGAAAGTTGGCCATACTGTGGGTTTTCACCACGCTTCTTCAGAGATTCCAGGCTTGGATTAGCCTTTGTTGTTGAAGTACAGCATAATAATGCTTATGCCTTTCAACTAGCTGTTCCACAATTTTATATAGGGTAGTATAAGTGCGTTTATTAATCCTCAATTGTTTTATATTGATTTATGTGCTACATTGTGTTACTGTGTATGCAAAGATACATGTACTTGTTTGCATTCACTTTCAGTACTAGTATTTCCAAACATATATACTACATTATGAAACAGTCAAACCACTTTTTAAGCTACATACAACTGAGTTTATGATGATAATACTGATTATAAGGCTATAGGAAAACCAATAATGATAAATATTATTAAACCGTTATAAATGTGCAAAATTCTTACTGATTTGGTCTTGTGTCATAATCCTTGCAGAAGTAATGAAAAAGAATTGATTTGAAACATAATTATGTAATGTGATGTTGTGAGATGAAATTACATAAAAATAATGCTTTTTATTCCTACAATAACAGAATGTTTGTAATCAATAGTGAATTAATGCCAATAATGAGACTATAGATACCATATGATTCAGTGTTTATAATATATAAAGAAGGAGACATTGAAATGACCTCAGTCAATGAATAGGGACTGGACTTGACGTTTTTTCTAAACTTGTTTGTATGTAAGCCTTATTGAATCTGTTCTTTGATTGAAAGCACAGATTATTACCTAGTAATGGAAGAAGGTTTAAGTGGTGTTGCAGAGCTGCCAACCCTTGCGATTTTAGCATAAGGCTTACGGTTTGAGTGTCTAAAATACACCTTGCGATTTATTCTATTTATCCTTATGATCTCCATTTCTCTCCATCAAAAGCTTGAAATACTGGTATTTTCATAGCATTCTACCTTCAGTTTTCACCAGTATAATACGAAAGTCATAGTCCTTACAGTGCTGGCTTGTATTGTTATTGTCCGTTTCTATGTTAACTTGAGATCTAAATCATTTCAAAGTAATCAAAATGAAAACATCTAATGGCCGCCGGTGTAAGCGGCCTCTGGATCTCCTCATTATGATTTTTCATTTTATGATGTTGGCAGCTCTAATGTTGTGAAGCAGTGCAATTTCCCTAATCTTTCAGTGCTAGTGTCTGCATTTGTGTTAGTTTATTTAGCTTCAGAAAAAAATATGTAATATATATGTGAAGTGTACTGTTTTTGGTTTACCAAGGTAACAATTGAATAGTTGAATGTTTATATGTACAATGGATAGTGTGGTACTATATTTATAAATGTACTTATTTATATGTTTCGGTCAGAATGTTCTAGAATTGAAGTCTATGCTAGGTTTTATGCTAGGGAATACTTATGTCAACAGACATATTTTGTTTTTATAGCCACATTGCCTTGATACAAACTTGGGTTCATGTTGAAAATAATTCACATAGTAAACTAGTTACTCAGTGTATACATATTTTTACTAATTAATGAGAGAGATACAATTGTTCATCATTCACTAGTGTTTCGTTAAACTTGGTGTCTATAGAGTTTTGGTGACATGATGACTTGTTGCTACTCTAAGTGTACCTTAAGTATATGAACCATCATTGATTAGTTACAGAAGCTGCTGTAGGGATATTAATCTCAGATTAAATTATAAACAGGTCTAGATTTGAACCCCTAACAGGTCTCATATTGCATCAGTACTCCTTCTTTTCCTTTATTTCAGCTGTTTAATTAAATCAGGATTTAATGGTACATGTATTTGAATTATACATGTATGCATGTGGTTTCAGCTTTTGCAAATTAAGATGTTTAAATGATTATAACACACAATAAAAAATTAAAAAACAAAAAAACACAATAAACATGATAAAAAGTTTGATTCCAGAATAATCATTTTTTAAAATCGAAGATAGTCCAATATGATTAACATCTTGATCATGAGTCAGATATTTTTTTCAGAAAAGGATATAAGATTTCTGCTGAATCATCTTTGTTATTTGCAATATCACATATACTCTCAGTGTCTGTTACTTGACACCTTATACGTGTTACTGTATTGTTTTAATCTCATTTTGATAATCATATAGAATGACAAGACAATAATACATGGACATATATAATGAGATATAGTGCATGTTTATTTACTTTGTTTTGGAAGATTGTGTACAAAGTACTGTTGATAGTCACTTATACAAACAAAGTCACGTCCTATGATAGCAAGTTTCCCATGGTAATGTAAAGATGTACTGCTCTTATATGTTACTGAAGGATTGTGGGATATAGGTCACCCTTTATACCACCTAATGAAATGAATGCTCTCTCAGTTTTTGGTATATGGGGAAGGATTGTTAAAATTGGGAAAATTATGGAAGTTTTTGGGAAAATTGAGAAAATCAACATATTGAAAAAGTTTTTTTTTTTTAAATTTCATTTTGGTTTCCTTGTGTTGAATGTGTTCTTTGTCATTAGAAATAATAATTGGGAAAAGAACTCCATTCAGTTGAGAAAAAAAAGGTACCTATTTTGCATTGGGAACGAGGCCATACAGCAGCCCAAATTATAAGCTAATCAAGAGCCCTGAATGCAGCTAGTATTTCTCTAAAGTTTATTTTGCATCACCTGGAACAGTAAACCAAGACTTGGCATCTTACATATATGGTAATGAACCTGCAATTCTCATGTTTCAGTTGATGTATTTTCTAACACATTTAACATACATCCAGTTCTTTTCATTGGACATAAAATGAAAATTGGCAGAGTTATGTTTTGTATCATTTATAAAACATTAAATTACATGCTCCCAGGTTTTGTTTTGATTAAATAATGCCTTTGGACTTTTATTGTACTACCATGTGTGCTTTTTTTATGCAGATTGATTCATGCAATACAAAACGTACATCTGTTTCCATGAAACATTATAAACAGCCTATATATATATATATACTCATGATACCCGTAATTAGTTTTTTGATACCGTCAATGTGAGGTGATATAAATTTCCTAGTCTTCACTCTTGATTAAACTATATATTTCTGGTATATTTTGACAGAAATTGATTTACCATCAGCATTAAAATAACTTTACTTCCTTCAATTTTTACATTCACAAGTTGACATTTTTTTTTTATTTTCTACACAAAAGAAAGATCTATAGACAATGTGCAAATGGCTTTCTTTAAATGACATGCATTTATTACAGAGTTACATGCCTCCCATGGTTAAAGAATTTTCTGGTGGCTATGAATACAAATGAAGTATCTGTCTTGTTATTTTCTCAGAGGTATATTCTTATCATAGGCATTGTATACAGGGCTTTCTTGCAAGTTTCACACAGGTTTATATACAAAATTATGTATACCATCATGACATCCCTCATACATCAAGAATATCTGTAATTGTATGGTCTATAAATTATGTCTGAGTATTGTGACTTTTTTGTTAAGTTGTTTGAGACTATAAAATTCATACTCCTACTGGCTCCATTTGATTAAAATCTATCAATGTTGTTAATATTATGAGCAGAGTGGATAAAGCTCCATTGTATACAGCTGTCTTAAGCCTGCCTTACAGCAATTTTTGAGATGTCATGGGTTTTTGATGTATTGTAGAATTAATGACATGTTTTTCAGAATACATTAGTGTGACCTTGCATGAATTATTAATGTCTTCCTTTCAATATACATACATTTATGTGTTTATGTACCTGAAAAATATTTGTATTTGAAAATGTTGATTTTAAAATGAACCCTAAAACAGGAGTAACCTATGTATGGAGTGATTGTCCTATTTGAACCTTGCATCATCATTTCAGATGAAATGTATTGAATATTGATACAGTTGTACATGCCATCTAGTTAATGAGGCCTCAGTAGAGTGGTGTTTGAATGCAATTAAAGGTGTGGTGCCATTAACAGTCAATAACATCCACTCTTTGTCACTAGACGATAACGAGAACTAAATATGGCGTAATACAGCGGAACATTGCTCTGATATTAATTATGTTCTCAATCGTGAAACAACAATTTGTGTGTCTTGTAACATGACAATGAATTCTTTGTTCTGAGCTAATTGCTAGTCAAAGTCTTTGAGAATGTTTTTTTTTTTTTGTTGTTAGAAAATTGGTGAAGAAATCACATTTGACATTGAAGTAGATAGAGTTTTCTAGAAATGTTGTACGGAAAACAGCACTGTGTGGTGAACATTTAAAGAATGTTGAAATGCACTCTGACAATCTTGTTTACATTTAACACTGCAAAAATAGAAAACACCATTTGTAAACTCTGTGGAAAGCCTTGTCAGATATTTTAAGAAATCAATACTGAATTCAAATGTTAAAACATAAACGAAAATCTATATTTAGTATATAGCTTAGTTTTAGGGGATTTTTTTTGTTGCTATATAGCTAAATGATTACCATTACATATGTACATAAATTCACAGACAGGATCATGTCCCTGTGATTTTTATTGTTTTAGCTGTTTTTGTTTTCCATGCAGGCCTACAAATAGTATCCACCATTTTGTATATATTTAGCATAGAGACTGAGTTTTGTGAATAATTAATATTGATTTTATGTTGTCCCACACTCCATCCATTAGGCATGTCAGTATTGTTGGGCCTTCATTTGATGGACGATTTGACCTATATACACATATACAACTGCTTTGACTGGGCATATAGTGTCTGATATATAAACAGATGTTTCAATGAAGTATAAACAGGCTAACCTCAATATCTGCCTGTATAGAATATTCTGGCATGTGTAGGATATATCTCCAGATGAAAATATCTCTCAATAATGTTAAGCTTGCGTGCATCCTTTGTACTGAATGTGTAGCGTGTTTTCGTGTATGAATGAATAATTTTTACTGGGTTGGCATGTTTTAGCTTTATGTTGTACAACATGTCTCATCATTTCCAATTTAAATTCCCCTCTGACAGGTTAAGTAGGACATTTTGCATTTCAGGTCATGTATTATCTGCGCATTTAACTATATGTTATATAGATTTATGTAAGAGTATTCAGCCATTTAATGAAGATATTTATAAGAATTCAAGTCTGGAAAAATCAGAATGTGCATTAAAAAAGTCCCTATTTCTGAATAAATTATCTCTTATTAAATTGTACATGTTGCTTATGTACAAATACTGACTATTATAAAGAAGCTTGACATGATGTTAGCTTTTTTACTTACCATTTACAAAGTAAGGAGAACTTGGTGCATTGTCTTTACAGTGAAATGTATATATAATGGAATTCACTATTGGAAGGGACAACATCATGACCATTTGTCCATTAGGGCATGCTGATTCTACAATTGTCTGGAATGCATGATTTTTTTTTTTTTTTATCTAACACTGACTATCCTGAGTATTTATTTATTTATTTATTTTTTTTTAAGATGACAAGTGTGCTGGAAAAGATCTTGAACTTTTGGACAAACACTGAAGATTTTATTGGTTTAGTCACATGACATACCTCACAGATGTGATGCCTGCATGCCTTCATTACAACCCATTGTGTCGTCATCATCGGACATGTCTGAAAAGAAATCGCCTCCTCAAAAGGTAACAACATGGATGCTTCTTCTCACAAACAAAATCTGGTAGAGAATAGTGCCTATTGTAAATTAGCATACAAACAATGAAAGATCCCTTCTAGCAACAATACAGCTAGGTTTTCAGGGTCATGTGAATTATGAGAATGCACATTTAATATAAAATTTGGAACAGCAGAAAAGATGAGTATTTAAAGTTTGCAAGTAAATCAATCAAGTAAAAATTGTGATGTTAGTGAAGTCCCTAGGCATGCCTGAGGGAAGTATATAGGCCAAGACTTGAGTATACATATTAAGAAGATGTTTAAACTACTGTGGTAATTGCTGGCTTTGTTACACAGTAATATAGAGATTAGCCTAGAGAGTTTGATATTTTACAAAGTCTACACTCCTGTACAAAGAGGTCAAGTTACCTTCAAAGAAGGGATTTTCAGAGGTCATTAGTGAGAACTTTCTTACATATGTGTACGCTTTTGTATAAGCCTATATGTAAAATTATATGCCTTTTCAAGTGTTTATTACCCAAGTCTGCCATATTCTGGGGTTTTCCAAGGTTATACTGTCATGTGCAGTAATGCCTGCAAGCGCATTCTTTGTGTTATAGACAGAAATATAACAGAATAAACTGTGCGTGTTTATATGTTAACTGAGAATTCATCACACAAACAGGCATTGTGTTTGTAAGAAGTTGAACACCAGGGCAGGATGAAATCTTTTCAATACATTCATGTTGATTCATGATTGTTATATATTTATGTTTTAAAATCTAAATTCATGAATGTTATTACACAGACATAAGTTCTGCTGTGTTTAGGAGGTTGATAGAGTGAATTTTTTTTAAGTAAATAGCATGAATAAGGGACCATTAAGACATAGGGAATCATTGAGATGTAAACCTGTGTCAAATAAACCAATTTTGTCACAGATGACTTGACCCTTTAAGTTCCAGGAAGCCATTAAATACTGGCAGTGTTATAGGATTGTCTGTGGGAATCAAACAAAAAAAAAAAAAAGAAAAGAAAGAAAGTCTGGGCAGTAATACTGGATTGATTCTTATGCAGTAGATCTAACAGTATTTCCAGCAAATGTTGCCACCAGATTCCCTTGTATCAGATAGCCCTTCCAGTTGCTGGTAGGCAGATGTAGTGTAGTAGCTCTGTGTGCTGTTGAAGAAGTGAGTCATTATTGAAGACCAGGAATCTTTGATGATGGGTGACATTTAATACTGACTTATTGGTTTGCACTAGAGCTGTTGTGGGAATTCCATGTAGTTCCTAAGTTCACGTGGTTACCTGTGTGGAAAAAAGGTGTGTGTTTGTGACAGCAAACGCTTGACAAATATCTCTGGATTTATGATAAATGGCTGTGCTTTATTGTGACAGTTCTACACCCATTGAAATTGTGTGATTTTGTGTGTACATGTGTTTATGTCATTACAAACAACAATTAGCTGGTCTCATCAGATTCATACCAACAAAGGCAAAAATATTGTAACTGGTAACTCTGTGATGTCCAATTCTTGGAAATATTCCTCTGTTTGGCTATTGTGACTTCATTAATTCAGAACATGTGAATTATGAAAGTATAAATTTTCAGAAATTTGTATTTTCATCAATGCATGTGAAAGTACCACTGACTCTCCAACCTTGAACAAAGAAGAGCCTAGAGGGTTTTGGCTTAAGAAGATAGTTTTCCATTCTGTGTGTTTGCCTGTAGAATGGACATTTTGTGTAGTTGACAATCATGCAGGCTTTACTGCAGAGTCCCTCTCATTACCCCCTGGATATTAGCCATGATAAACCTAGAATGTACCACCATGTAAAGCCACAGGACAGCCGGAGAGAGGCCAGAAATACTGCCATGGTATGTGATGAAACAAAGAAAAATGTGCACCATTAAATACCCCAGATGATTGTAGAGGCAGAGAGTATATATACATTTCAGTGTAGTTAAGATATACTGTTACACTACAAAGTTATAAGATAAACTTCAGGCAATATGAGTTTAATGATAAAATTTCAATTCTTTGGGAGAAAGTTGATATGTTCCTGTTAGTGATTGTGTAACTTTCCTTTAAGCACAAATGTCTGTTTCAGACAGACTTCATTATCTAGTAGCAGGTGTGTTGTTGACATTAAGATGATTTCTTTGTTTAATAAATCCAGGGAAAGGCTTCTTTTGCACTTTTGTCCAAGGGTTAATCTGAGGCAATGTCTCCCTTGGTAACGCAGCGGAAATATGAAGGATGTCAGCAAGTGCTGACTGTAAAACGATAATACCCAGGCTCTGTGTGCATATTTTTCTTGAACAGCTGTTTTTTTTTTAATACAAGCAGTTTTCACAAAAAGTGAAAGCAGGTTTCAGCTGAAAAGATTCTCCATATAATGTTGTAATATGAGGTGCATTAACACAATACTTCATTGATCCAGTTTGATAGAATAAATAGGAAAAATCAAATAGAACAGAAAATGACATTAGAATAAAGGCCATGTGAAAATAGGGGCACACGCTGAAAATAGAAACAGGATGAATGTTCTTGAATCATCTGAAATAAAATGACTTAATCCTGTAAATGAAGCACTAAGTTCACTTCATTAACATGTTTAACCGAGACGAAACCTGTCATAATGTGTTCATAGTATGTTTAATAGGCAGGGTATATAATTAAAAACAAACGTAAAAAGGGATGGATGCTTCATACATTTAGTTTTTAATCCATATATACTGTATATTTTTCTTCATTTTATAGCAGGAGAAGCCATTACTCATAAGAACACCGCAATCAGAAAGCAAGCCATTGAAACGTAAATTTCTTGTATCTGATTCTCCACCACAACTTGATGAAGACGACCGCAAGACCACACCTAAACGGAAGAAAACCCTTTTAAATTCTGAGATGTCCCCCACCCATCATGGATCCACCCCTGTTTCTAAGGCCCCCAGTAGTGGAATTACATCCCCTCGAACGGGGCCCCTGTCTGAGAGACAACAGATGCTATTTCTTATGAAGATGACTGATGACTCTCAAGGTACATATTCTGATTTTTTTATGTGTACATAGTGTGTAAACAAGAAAATTTCTTTTTGGCATATGGAAGTTCTGGGAGAAATTCATAAGTAAGCAGTACTTATTTTGTATGATTAAAGGTTTATTGTCAGAGATGTGGATTATGTAAATTTACACATGAATTGTTACCACCAGCTTGTCACTGTTAAGTTCCTACAATGAAAACACTTGATATGACTAGGTAAACATGTTAAAGAGTTAAGTTTTGAAGTAGATAGAAAAAAAATCTCATGTGAAGATAAAAAATGTGTTTAATTTTCACCATCTGTTGCAAGAATAGTAGACCTGGGAAATATAATTGGATTACAGAGAGGAAATAAGTAAACAGCCATTTCAATTACCATGAGCATCTGATTACAATTTATGTACATACAGGATATGGGTACCTGTTATTCAAAGAAGTATAAAAATAACCTCAAAAATGTATATCAGGAAGTAGCCACTCATTCAATGTTTGTCAAGCAAGCCATTATCTTCGAGTTGTCACAAAATGAAAAGTCAAAGTATTTATCACAAAACTTTGTGAACCTTCATAGTTTTCTCAACTGAAGCAGAAAAGCATGACAGGCATGGCTTGTTCAGCATGTATGAAATGCCATGTCATTGTAGTGATTTGACTGTTGGCCGTATTTGTTAATTAGAAATGGCTATGGGTTTAGATATGTAGGAGTTGGATCAATAGTAGAGTTTACATACTGTGTATCAGAGGATAATATTGCCTGACAAAGCACTGATCTAGCTATACTGGTCTCTCTATAGATTTCCTGGGTATTTATGGATCTAATAGGAAGCTTGACATTAGTAAATGCATTACCTATTCATTACTCATATATACAAGATGGACCAGACTTAATTAGACAGTGAACATTTAGCTTTGACACAGATTTGTGGAGGCAGATGTTTCTTTCTGATATAATTTTTTTAAATTTCCTTGTGTAAAACATTCTTTTAACATTTGACTTTACTGTTTAAAGTAAGCAATGAATTGTCATTTTATGAATGATGTAATAAATATTTCAAGTACCGATGATAATGGTGGACATATTACATTTGGCCTTGATCTGATTCAATGTTATCTGCATGTGACTGCACTGACCTGACCTGACTTACACTGTAGGGTGATTAGTACATTTCCATATCCTCAATGTCTCCTGGTCCGTATTAAACAACTGTTAAATAAACATATGTCAGAAAGATTTATGTTTAATTTACTCTGTTGAATGTAGATTGTGAAGTATTTTGACTGTAAGTGGTATATTTCCTGTATTTTATAATTTGTGTTGTAGACTCATCGTCTAAGCCTACTTCTCCACAACCTTCCGCTCCCCCTGTAAAGAAAACCCCTGGGGACAAGAAGGTCCACAAGAGAAATGAGCGAGGGGAAACACCCCTCCACTTAGCAGCCATCAAAGGCGATGTAAAACAAACAAAGAAGTTGATCAAGGCTGGGGCTGATGTCAATGTGGCAGATTTTGCAGGTAAAAGTCATGAAACAGGCGACTAGTACAGTCATGATCTGGATGTTTTATGCCAAATATAGATTTTTATGAATTGTTGTTTTCAGTATATGCACCTTTTGTCACTGTTTCCTGCAAAAAACATGTCTGCCTTTCAAAAAAATAGTGACTTTGTTGGTAAATGTTTTATTGGATTTGCTGGGTATGTTAAAGCAGTAATTATAGATGTTCTAGTGTAACAGGAAATGTAGATTGAAAGTAAATGTTGTTCATGAAAAAAAGAGAGAATTTTTGGTATTTTTGATGAAATTAACTGCACATGCTCAATGCAAAAAGCTACGTTATCAACAAATTGCACCCAGGACTAAATAACTTATAGCTGATTAGGGCATGTTCTCTAATATCATTTGAATGACCAGGGAATAAGATTTCTGCATTGATTCTGGCTTGTTATAAGGCAGGCTGATTTTGAATGCAGTGGTATTGTGTTTGGCTGGATTGTAGGAGACAGATTTGACCTTGTCACTATACAGTCTGATTGGTAGGGTATTGATTTGTGATTCACCCTGGCTAGAGGTCGAGAGACAGTGGAAGCCTGTATTCTTATCAGTAGGGCCCCTTGTCTGGAAGCAGATTTCTCACAAAATTTCATTGATCTGCCAACCTGTCATGAACTAGGGTTTCTCAGAACATCAAATTAGGATTTATCTGGCTGATTCTCAGTAAAAAAAAAAAAAAAGGATAATAAAGCAAAAAAAAAATCTGTCCAATTTTAATGTTTTCTGTGAAGTCATAATATACTGTGGAGTCACAACATAAACGTGACTGTGTATTGATTTTCTTTTTATGACACTCCCTACCCATTTGATAATCAGGTGTTAACCTTGTTTTATGATCTCTTACGTCATTGTGAATCACAAAAGCTCCAACAAGTTGTCTGGAATAGAATTCTTTGTATATGTGTGTGTCTATGTACACAAAGAAATAAAAATGAAAACATGGACAAAAAGAGACAGGAAATGACACAGATTACATAGAATTTAAAATAATGATCAGATGTGTCATTTTGTGAAAATGAGATTTTGTTTAATCTATAGTTTGGCAATGGTTGTTGATATATGTATTAAAGCTCTTGTATCTCTGACAAATATGTGATAAAACTGGTATATATATACCGGTATATGGAGATTTAAAATGCAATAAACTTTAAATTCATAAATATAATATTTCTAAAGACAGTACTGTGAAAAACATTGAACTACATAACACCATTTGCAGAAAGAAAACAAAAATTAACCATACAATAGAATTTTTTACAAAATGTTTGATTTGGCATTATTATAGTCTTGACAATGCTAAATATAAAGCAGGCCTTTTAAAATATGCTGGTGCCCTGTACTTTTAATACCCAGCTGAGATCATGGTTGTTTGATGGAGATAGATTCCATAACATTTTTAATTAACATCTCTTCCACTACGTACCTTCTATTTTTGTTAAAAGTACCACCTGTATCAAATCTTTTTTAGAGCCCTGATAAAGGTCACTAATAATTTAGTCACATGTCTGAAAAAAATTTATAGAGTAATCCTTAAGATTGTTGGAATTTATAAACGCTAAAATATGCTTTCTCACTAAGTTGCCTGTCGATAAAATTGCCCGTTATACAGTATTACTTACTCCTCACTTCAAACAGCACTGCACAATTAAAAAATGAATATATTTTTGTGTGTAATAGGTTGGACACCACTTCATGAAGCTTCAAACAAAGGTTGGGTTTCTGTTACTAAGCAACTTCTAAAGGCTGGGGCCAATGTGAATGTCCAAGGACTGGAGAATGACACACCCCTTCATGATGCTTCAGGAAATGGCCACACTGAGGTTAGTAAAAGAGATTTAAAAATATGGATTCTAACTACATAGCATTTAGGTCTTAAGATTGAGGCTGGACTTTTCATTGAAATGGAAATATAAATAATTTGCAGTTAAACACTTAAAATTATTTCAAGAAGTGTCACATAGTATATAAACTGTAATTAGGAAAAATCTATCTATATCTTTTATATCACTGGATATAACCATTTAACTTTTATTTGACAGTTGGTGGAGCTTCTGTTGAAGCATGGTGCCAACCCTCTACAGCCCAACAGTAAAGGGAAAACCCCGGTGGATGTGGCCGCCTCTCAGGACATGGTCAAACTGCTGAGGAAAGAGATCATAGCCTCTAGTAGTGATAGTTCTAGTCTGGACGACGCACGCTCTCCCACCTCACCGGAAAGCAACTCCTCCTGCAAGGATGATGATATGGATAGTCAGTGTTTACTTATTTGAATTTGAAGTACTTATTTATGTTTATCTGGGAGGAGTGATATATTCACTCTGTAAATTCAGGACCATGTAATAATTAAATACATAAAGATAAGTTATTTTTTTTGCTGTTCCTATTAATCTTTCACCCTTGTAAAATTGTATTTATGCTTCTATGAGAAATTTTTGGAATTACTTTGTATTTATGATTTTCCCAAGGCAATGTTTCTAACTATCTGTTCTATTATTCTTTTGATTTTAGTCTTTGCACCCAGAAATCCTAAATCAGACTCTAACAATGCAACTTTGGGACCAAGTAGCCGCAAAAGCATCTTCATCAAGTTCCAGAGAGAACAAATAGATGAACAGAGTGATAAATCTCCAGACTTTTATAGTTGTCATGTGGAGACTAGTGAGAACAAGGACACTCTATTTGCGTGTGATAGCCCCGCCTCCAGTGGGAGTGACCTTTACGACCCCCAGTTACAGAGTGAAAGGTTCAAATCCAAGACAGGAAATACCGAGGAAACAGGTGCCTCCAGTACAGAATCTCCAGCATCAAAAGTTAAACTACCATTCTCATCATCATCAGATGTCAGTGGATTTGATATGGGAGGATTTAACAGATTAAATAATCTGGAACCTGACAGTCAGAGTGTGGAAAACACATCACAAAAGTACAAGTTAAAAGTTTCAGAAACACAGCCATTTTTCCCACATAGTGAAAGTTTTAGTGATAGTGAATCAAGAGATTCTTTTAAAATGTATGGTGATAGTGATAGGACTCGCATTCCCTCCGTAGACTCCAGTCTTTCTCGATTAAAAGAATCAGCGTCTTCAGACGTTCAGCGTAACAGTGTTGTCAGTTCAGTACTAAATTCATGTACCTCCACTACAACTGGGAAGTCCGGGAGTAGTGGGGAAAATAACAGTGTATCAAGTAGTTCTAACAATGAACAAAGCTTTCTGCAAAATAGCTCAAATATTCCTCGAAGAAATAGTATTAGTAGTTCAAACAATTTTGTGACAAACAGTGCCAACAATGGGAATTCAAATGACCTGCCAAATTCTAGTGTTAGTTCAAGTGGACTCAAGTGGGACCTTCGATCTACAGCTTCACCCAAAAGTGAGGAAGGCAGCAATCATTCTGGAAGGTCTGACTCTAATCGGAATAGCTCTCCTGTACGATTGGAGGGCAGAGACTTCAAGTCCTCACCAAGAGACAGTAAGCCCTGTTCACCCAAGGTGCCCCCATTGAAAATCATCATCCCTCCAAAAACATCAACAGCAATAAATCAGGACCCAGAGTCAGCAAAAATTCACACCTCCAAGAAATCTCTCCCTTATGTGTTAAATCCCACTCAGGAACAGCAGGCAGGGGGAGTGCTACCTCAGAACAACATGACCAGCCTGGCCATTCCACAGGAATCCCAGCCGGTAGCAAGCCCTGCCTCTTCGCGGTCCTCATCGAGCGGAAGTGCTGCAGTGTTCAAGGATGGTGAAAAGTATTCTGTTAAAGACTCAAAAGAAAAGGACTCAAAGGAGTCTTCTTCTGATTCTCAAGTTAATGTAGAAAGTGATCAAAAGTCAGAGGAGATTTCTTCGTCAAAAGAAAGTAAGGAAAGAGACAACAGTTCAAAGGTCAAGGACAGAGAAAAGGAGGGAAAGGAAAAGGGACAGGATGACGAGAAGGAAAAGGAGACGCAGCAAACAAGGCGGACGTTACGATCACATACACAGGCACTGCAGCAGGAGAAACAGAAACAGGGCAGACCACCTCCCAAAGACAAAGAGAAGGATTCAGGTAATCTCTAAACTTGTTAATGAAAGCTGGTTGTGTTTAATGTATTTAATCGTATCTGGTTTGTAAAGTTGAATCTACGCTTTTCAAAAGTTACTTTTTGTGTACTTTAAAAAGCGGGCTTTATATTTTAGCGGCTTTTGCGCAGACAATGATGTGCTAATTCATGAATACCGCTAAGAAATAATTTATAAATACAACATTCGGCAAGGACATGTATAGCGCTAATTCATGATTTTGCTTACAACTCCATATCCAGTGATTATGCTAAATTTTGAATATGCCAATTTATGTACACGTAAAGTATGTCCCTTGGCCACCATCATTGGGAAAAACACCATAGATTCTCACACTGGTCTTGTATTAAACTTTCAGGTTCATAATTTTGTCGTTACATGTATTAAGAAATAATTGTTGGATCTTGTATTTTGATTGCCCCAGGATGGGGCTACCCATATATTGAAAGAAAAAAAATTGTAATGTAGTGAATTTATTGCTGCATGCCAAATGTTTGGTAGTGTTTAGCTGAGAAAAATTGCTTTTTTCCTTATTGACCTCATGAAGGAAAACAACTTTTTAAAAGTGTGGATTGGACCATTTGGTTATAGATTTTTAAATTTACTGATAGATATTGAAAATTGACCAGTAATTAATCTCTTAAATCATTTATAATTTGATGCAGAAATTGTACGATATTATGTTGTATTTGAAGGTGAAAACCATTAGAGTGTGTTAAGGAGGTGCAGGATTGACATTAGCAAGTACTAAGATTTTTTTCACAGCATTGTTTTCTAAATTTGAAAAAAAGCACTAAAAGTTGTCTTATGAAATTTGATTATATAGGAAGTAAAGAATCCTCTGACAAAGATGAGACAGGAAGTACCACTAAAAGTAAAGCGGAGGATGAGGATGTCCACACGTTGCCACGGAAACGAAAGGGTTTACGCCCAAAGTCTGACACTGCTCCCCAGCCTCCCACTGAACCAACAATCACACTGCCGACAGTGTCCTATGAGAAGCCACCTAATCCATTTGAACTGTATTTATCAATCAGAAAACAGGTCAGTTTTTACTGAGAAAGACATCTTAAAGTGCATAGAGAACTCTGAAATCATATTTATTGATTACTTTTTTGTTTGGCTTGTAACAAGGTGATAAAGTGTAAATAGGGGATGGTTTCTTACAAGGTGATAAGGAGTAAGTCATGGGGCAAATTATAGCCTGTGTCTGATAAACATCAGAAATGAACTTTTAAGCTGAATTAGTAAAATTTTGATTGTCATCAGATGTTGAAAGATTGACCCCAATGAATTAAAAATGATTCCACAGTAATATGCTTCTAAACAATTTTACCTTGTAAATAAACATTAGCTGTATAAGCTTGGCTGGTTCTTTTAAAAATACAGAGGAAGTGAGATTTTTAAAATAACAAGGGTTTTTTGTCTTTTTTTTTTTGTAAAGAATACATACAATGCTAGAAGGATTAAATCAATACTGTTGATTTTAAGTTTATACATTCCCTTACCAGGTGCTTCAGCAGCAGAACAGTCTGGCAGTTGTTTATCCTAAAGCTCCTCAAGGCTTCAAAGACTACTTAATGGTCAGCTGTGGCTATGTGTTGGAAGGAAAGAAGGCCAGTACCCTCTCTGTACCAATGGTGAGTGGAATACTTCATTTCCCATTAGTTTAGTGATTAAGTATTCATTATTAGCTTTGATCATGAGAATACAAATATAAGTATTTTGTTTTTGCAGTTGTCACCTCCTAATGCAGTGCAAGGGGAAATGAAAGAATTATTTATAAATCAGGAAAAAGTCAGATACAAGCTAAGGCTGCAACATTTAACAGAAAGGGTAAAACATAAACAAATGTTGTTATTAAAGTTTATTTACAGTTGAAATTTTGTTGCATAGTGATAAATTATTTAATGAAGAGACATATGAGCCCTCATCATGTGTAATCCTTGCAAATTAGATTTGAATTGTTTATGTTAATGTTTATAAATTTTCAAAGAGGGAATATACATGTACATTTACTGAAATTTTATTGTAGGAGAAATTGATCTTATCATTGGAACAAGAGAGAATCCGTGAACATGGGAGAGCAGCACGGGCAATGGCTAATCAGAGTCTGCCTCTCAGCGTCTGTACAATATTGAGGAACGAGGAAATCTATCATGCTATGGAACCAGAGCAGGTAAATAGAAACATGTAAATAGAAACCCTCAAAAAGTTTTATATTTTCTGCAGTTATTTTCTGGTGCTAGATTTAAATAGTCTTTGCATTTGTGAGATTTTGCATCCTGATACATGTTGAAGTATATGTTCTTCTGTACACTGCTAGTAGATTCCTTATTTTACACAAGTACTTACTATTATGAAATGACTCATACACGTCAAAATGCAAGAGCAGGAAATCTCAAGTTGACTGTTAATCAGCGCTTTTCACATGTATTTCGGCAATATGAAAAATAGCGATTAATTTTATGTTGCGAGTACAGCAAAATTACTTGATTATAAATTCTTCATTTATATTTAGAAATTCACAGCATGTTATTAGTGAAAATATGTTTTAATCTTTTGTAGGAAGAAAAGGAGAAAGGTGGGAGAGCCAGATACAATGGACGACAGTTTTTGTCCTGGTTAAAAGATTTAGATGACAAGTTTGAAAAACTCAAGGTAAAAGTGTGAAACTGATTTTGGTAACATATCCATTACATATACGCAATAACAATGATGATGAGAAAAATTAATTTTTAATTGAAAAAAAGTATTAAATGCATAGATTTAATATTTAATTTCAGGAGGACCTGTTGTGTAGACATCACATGGAGGCAGATTCACTTTATGCTATCCAGAAGCTAGACTGGGAATGGAAGATGAAGGAGTTAGGTTTATGTGACTATAACGCTAACCCAGAGGTGGACGAAGTGAACGTTCCCTTGGTACAAGTCCACGAATTTGATCTAACGTAACAGAGCTTGCTTAATAGTTGGACATAATCACAGAGTTACAAAGTGAAGGCACTGGATAAAGAGAGAGCATCACTTTAATGTTGCTGTCATGTTGAGATCCTGAAAGAAACAGATGGAAATGAAAGGGATTTGTGGTGTGGTGTGTTGTACGATGAAAAAAGTGTGGATTGCAATATTAACATAGTGCTTATTTGTGGTCAAAAGATTGCAAGAATGAAAGATGTGTTATATCTCACACTGTGCAGAACCAGATAATGGGTTTATGCCAGTGGATAGAGAGTTGTTAAGTCACAAGAAGAGATACCTTTGTGTAGATAGAGATCATCAATGCCAGTACATCAGCCCTCTATGAATGTTGTGATGCATGTGGAGTCTTCATACACATGAAAAGAAACAGCCTGCTTAACAGCCAAACTGTCATCCAATCAACAATTATTATAAAATAATTCTTAAAAATAGTTTAACTCTTAAAGCTTCTTATTACCTGCATTTCGGAATTATGCTAGGTGATTGGTTTTAAGTCAAAAATTGAAATTTGGAAATTATTTGAAGCCACACGTATTTTCACTTTTACACTAAAGTGCTTTCTTATAGTTGATTGCAATGTTTCAAGAACATATTCTCAGACTGTATCAACTTGAAAAAAAATATGTCCCCATTCCAAATGAAAGTTTGTTTTTCAATTATAATGTTATTCTTAATTTTCTAAACATTAGGGATAATATTTTATTTCAAAATACTAGTACTATACCTCTTCCTGAAGTTAAGCATCAGTCTTTTGAATTATATGCATAATTTTACTTTGAAAGTATGCTGAACTGTTGAATAAGGGGCAGTCTTTCAGGTTTTGACTACTTATTAGATAAAGTATTGCACTAGATAGCTTTATTTCAGTATAGAAATGGGTTAAACTGAAATCATGTTTTAATTCACATAATAAAGTAGTAATTTATGTTTAGTTATTCTTGAACAAAGTAAGAAAATATTTGTGTCACGATTTTTAACATTAGTGAAAGAACTAGAAAAAATATTTTTTTATCAAACTTTTATTAATCTAGTGAAAAGGAACATTATTTGAAGGAATGAGTTTCTGAATCTCATTGCTAATGTTTATTAACTTGGTTAAACTATTGTCTTATTAACTTGGTTAAACTATTGTCTTGATATTTGTTCCCTAGTCTTAAATCCAAATACAAAGGCAATATTGTTTTAATAGTGCTGCATATTTCTTTTATCTATTAAGCAACTGTTAAATGTTCTCATGTTATGTTACTAGTGTGAAGGCATGTGCCTCCTCTTCATATTTTAAAACTGGAGTTTCCCAGCACCCCTGTTCATTGGTATTTAGTGTTGTACAGCAATGTATCAGGATAAAAACAAATTACTAATTTTTTTAAACATTGAAATATTTAATGTTTCAAATTATTTTTGTCACGTGGAAAATGTCGTGGAAGAATTCTTTTTCCATGCATTTAAAATAAACTGTACAGAAACTTGTTCATGTTTTCTTCATTTTCCCAATAAGGAATCAAGTGATGAACCTTTGGCCCTATTTAATGAAGGTGAAGCCTATAGCATGCCCTTGGGTGTGCAGTGATCTTGAAACATTCTGGGTTAAAGGTCAAGGTAGAAGCAGATCTTTGTGTAAAACCTCAGTTTCATGCGAATGGACCAGTTGGCTTACACTTCCATTGCAGAGTCTGGATAAAGGGTGCACATCCTCATTTTAGGGATCCTGTGTCCACTGGTGTTCCCATGGCAATGAGTCAATAGGATCCCTGAAGTTGTGAGAATAGGGTGTGTAGTGATAAAATCAAGCCGAAGGTTAAAACAGATTCTAGTGTACACTTTTTAAAGGAAATATTAACTTCTCTTTTCCATACCAATTTCCATTCTGTGTACGAGTAGATTTATCTGCATTTTTAATCGGGTTTTCTGAAGGAAAAATCCGGTTATTCAATGGTGAAAATGTCAGGTGGGTGGGCGGTTGCCAAAAGGGAACCCTTTTTGTCTGGATAACTCTTACATTTTTCAAGTTAGGAACTTTTTTGTTTTGCAGATCAATTATACCGGTACATATATTAAAGATGTGCATATTACTTGGATTTTAATTTTTGAGAAAAATACCAGCTTTTGAACTTAATAATTTTTTGTCAAAATATTGCATATAGGGTACCCCATTTGTCCGGATAACTCCTACAGTTTTCAAGATAGGAATTTTGCAGATCATTACTACATATATCAGAGATGTGCATATTACTTGGATTTTAATTTTGCTGATTAATTACAAAAATACCAACTTTTGAACTTAGTCATTTTTTAACAAAATATATTGCATGTATGATACCACATTTGTCTAGATATCTCAGTTTTCAAGTTAGGAACGTTTTATAACTTATGAAGTTTAGGTGGGGGGGGGGGGGTATATAGGAATCACCTTGTCTGCCTATCCATCTGTCCTTGCAAATTTCTCTGGGCTGTATGGAGAAACATTGAAAGTTCATACTTGATACAGAGATTGCTCATCACCTGGCAATGAGTCTTGACCTTGACCCAAAGTCATTCCAGCAAGTTCAAGGTCACTGGCTGAAAAAGTATAAAATTCTTCTCCATGCTAAAACTTTGACTTTGCTATGGAGAATCATTAGAACATACTAAGTACAAAGACTGCTTATGATTCAAGGGTGTGTCCTGACCTTGACCCAAGGTCTTCTGGCAAGTTCAAGGTCACTTTCAGAAAGTATAAAATTCCTATCCAGGCTATAACTTTATAATGGAGAATCATTGGAAGCTCATACTTGGTACAAAGATTACTTTTGACACAAGGGCAAGTCATGACCTTAACCCAAGGTCATACAAGCAAGTTCAAAGTCAAAAAGTATAAAACTCTCGTCTGGGCTATAATTTTGTAATGGAGAACCATGTAATGACCTACATTTTCCAGATGAATGACCAGGTTAAAGTTTTTGGAGCAGATCTCATTGGAAGCTCATACTTGATACAAAGATTGTTAATGTCTTTTGGATTTGTCATGACCTTGACCCAAGGTCATTCCAGCAACTTCAAAGTCACTGGCAGAAAAGTATAACATTCTTTTCCTGGCTGGAACTTTGTAGTGGAGAATCATTGGAAGCTCACACTTGGTACAGAGATTGTTAATGACATTACTGTGTCTCAAGACTTTGACCATAATTATCATTTCAGCAAGTTCAAGGTCATTGGTATAAAAAGTGTAAAACTCATAACAAGTTTATAATTTTCTAGAATAATACCAGTTCCATTCACACAAAGAAAACCCAGTTTGCTGTCACATTGACAGCTTTCCACTTGTTTGGGACTATAATGAAGGCCATTTGAGAATTGGTACCATCTTCTTGGTGAACTACATGTCATACACATTCTATACTGTCTCATCTACGATATACTACTTTTGTAATGTATTTGTTTTGTTCCTAGTACCTTAGTCAGTGACATGTTAATTATCAGGTTTACCAGTACATTGTAGCAACTATGTGATCCCTGACATATTTTATTCTGAATTGCCAAACGTACAGTTTACAACTTTACTCTTTATTGCCAGTATCTAAATGCTTACCATGACATGCTAAATATCAGGAATATGTTGGAAGTGAAAAATATGGAGTGATGAACTCCAGTACTGTTCACTTAATTAACATACAATGCTGAAATTTTGTCCTCACTTAATCCTGTTAATGTAAACGGTCAGGTCAAAACATAGGTAATCAAAGATAACATAGTTCACCTCAGCAAATGTTATAGATCTTTAAGTAAGGCAAAGCCTCACACTAAACAAATATTCTAGTACATGAAGTAAGCATCCCTTGATGCAACATTTATACAAGTTTGGTACAGAGATTGTTAATGGCATTAGGGTGTCTCATGGCTTTGACCACATCTGTTCAGCAAAGTCAAGGTCATTGGTATAAAAAGTGTAAAATTTACAAGTTTATAATTTTCTAGAATAATACAAGTTCCATTCATACAAAGAAAACCCAGTCTGTTGTCACATTGACAGCTTTCCACTTGTTTGGGACTAAAATGAAGGCCACTTGAGAATTGGTACCATCTTCTTGGTGAACTACCAGTACACATTTTACATGTCATATACATTCTATACTGTCTCATCTACAACATAATACTTTTGGGTTGTAAAATCTTTAAGCACTCCAGTGGGACTTTTCTGTTCAATCATCTGGAAAAAGTAAGTAAGATTCAGCATCTGAACCATATCTGGATATGTGCATCATTAGATGCATCATCCATGCAAGTTTGGTTACAACAGACCTGCTCCAAAAGCTTTAATCTGGCCATTCATTTAAAAAATGTAGGTTAGATCCAGCATCCCAAAACAAATCTGGTAGTGTGGATTCATAGATGCATCATCCATGCAAGTATGGTCCGGGTAAGTCATATAGTTACATTGGAATGAACCTGCTCCAAAATCTTTAACCTGTTCACTGATCCAGAAAATGTAGGCCAGATCCAACATAACACCACAGCCCTTGACACATGGACCATGAATTTCAGAATTTTGGTAGATTTTATTAAAGCACTCTTGTTCACCATAACCATGCATTTAGTTTGTCTACTAATATCCTGTGACAGAGATTTTTAAAGAATTAATGCATTTTCACAATAAAATCAATAGAGCCCCACCCTACACCAAAACCCCTGACCCAGGGACTGTGAATTTCATAATTTTGGAAGAGACACCCTTGTTCATCATAACCATGCACGTAGTTTGTCTGCTATACACACAGGGTGAGAGTTTGTCAAAGAATTTATGCATTTTCACTGTATGATCACTAGAGTCCAATCTTAACTCCAGAACCCCTTACCCTGGGGCCATTAAATCCATAACTTTGGTTAAGGACTCGTTGCTTGTTATAATCATGCCAAAAGCTTGACTCCTCGATGTTCAGAAATAAAGAAGACTTTTGAAAATTGCATCGATTTTGATCGTTTTGGCCCCACTCCTCAGACTTGAGGGACAGGGACCATGAAGTTCACAACTTCAAATTTTTGGTATCCCTTTGCCTGAGTTACTCAGGTGACCTAAAAATGTGTCTAGAAGTAATATTTTGAAAAGATGACCATTGTCAAATAATCTTCAAATAATGCCTTTAGTCTACAATGTCACATTCAACTTAAAAACACATCTTTTTACCTCAGATTTTAAATCAGCTTTTTTTGTTTAATAATTCCAAAAGAAATGCGAGTTTTTCCCTTTACCCATTGAAAAAAAAGAACTGTTCAAAATTTTATTTTAATATTTACTTTTTTTGCAGCTTTTCACTAACTGAAAAAAAAACTTCATCAATATTCTACTGAATTCATCAAGTGAAATTTTCACTGTTTATTCCAATACTTTTTATATATCAAAGTGATTTGACGAATCTGATTAAGACCAAACATGGAGATTTGCGTGTGGGGGAATATTACCTCGGACAATCCACATGAAATGTATAGGGACAGCCCACAAACATAAGGTCATCCAGCAATTCATGGAAATTCATGCATCACCAGACAAAAAGATATGTTTACAAAATTCAAATAAAAACTATCCATACATGAGTTTACATTTCAATACAAATTTGTTTTGATATTATGAGAAAATTTGCTTTCTTATTCATGAATAAGAAGAAAAAAATTCAAATTCCATGTATGTTTTTAATGTCTTTCAACACAACATTTAGCACCTATTAATTCATTATCTGTGATTAGTTCATTAACACTTCAATCTGGACCAGGCGTGCATTAGTGTCCCCTGGAAGTCTGTAAGGCAGCATTCCTGCAAACATGATCAAAGCCCTCGCCTCACTTCGAAGATAATTCAGGTACTGAAACACAAAAAAAGTATCTTATTACTTCTATGAATGTCAGATTTTCAATGCTTGAAAGTGCTGTGATTTGAACAAACTTGAATGAAAATTTAAAATTTTAGGTTGACTAAATGTCGCCCTGCGATTCCTTTTTTGAATTTATCCCTATACGTACTCCTACACTCCCTCCTTTTATGGCTTTATCTAGCTTGGGAGGGGATGGGGGGCTTCAATTTGGACAAGCTTCAATGTACAATGCATGGGAATGTTTTCATATTGACTTATTGTCATATTCTTGAGAAAATGATTTTTAAATGCTATTTCAGTACACATATTACATAAAACTTTGACTCTTATTGTGACACATCTTAGCCAATGGGGATATGATTTGAACAGATTTGAATCTACTTCTAGGGATGTGTTTTGTATATTAATTTGATTCATTGTGTTCATGGTTAAGGGAAAGCTGGAGATATCTGGGTTTTTTTTTTATCAACTTAAAACATTTAACTGAAGTCTTGTTTTTTAAGAGCAATAAAGATTTTGTAAAATTCAGTTAATGCTACTTTAAGGTGTGCCTGATAATTAAATTAACACCTGAGTAAAAGAGCTATCACCTCTACCTGCCAGACACTGTAGCTGTTAATTGTACAT